CGCAGTTAAATAAATATTTCTTACACAATGAGAAAAAGGAATATTTTAAGCTCAAGCACTTCCCTAACTTGCATTTGAGTACTCCAGTTTATCTCATATATCGTTGTGACATGATTTAAAATCGCTCACAATGCCGCAGATATACACTAACTAGCGGCTATTGTTGAAAGGTCTTAACGTCTTTGAAATTCTTTATTTAGCATATTCTGTCTCCCACAAACAATTTATTTCTTTCATGCACGCATTTCCTTTCCAAGTTTAGAAAGTTGAATCGATCGATGTCTGTGAAAGGTTCTTCGTTGACTCTTTTGTTAGTCAATTATTTATTTGAAGTAACTGATGAAGGGAATACTCTATTCCTTATCCTTTTTCCAATAGATCAAATAATTTCAGTAAATTCTTCAGTACCAGTGGTTTTTCTCTCTTTCTGCATACCCTTCTGGTATTTCAGATAAATAATAAATCACAGTGTTTTCTAATTGTTATCTGGAAGAAATAACTTTAATGTCTTTGTAAAATAAGTATTAAGAAAAACCCTTTTAGGTAACTCAGTAGACATCGTGACCGTACTAGTGAAAAAAAAAGAAATGCATTTCTTCCTTTCTACTACTCGTTTTTTTCATACTTTTCTGTTATCAATTATTATTATTATTTTATTTGAGTTGCATAAAAGTCTAGTGAATCCATTAATTTATTTGTCTCATGAGAATAATTATTATATTCTAAGGTAGCCCTTTTATCTCTGTTAACTAACTATAATCTCTCTCTCTCTCTATATATATATATATATATAAATGTATATATATATATTGATTAAATGCATTCTTTCAGCTTGGTGTAGTTGTTCTCTTTGAGCTGGGTGGTTGAATTGAATGGCTTCAATCGTCTTCCTAGACGACATGTTCAGCGCTGACGTCAATTTCAAGTGCATTTAATGACTGTCTCTTCTGATTACCTTGAATGTGGCCAGTTGTATCCTGGAATTTTTAATTCATGAATAACCCCCCACCATCCAATCATTTATGAAAACACAAGGCTAGTAGTTCAGCAAAGTGGCTTCCTTTTAGAGATTCGTCAGTTACAGGAACTGAAATCACCGGAAACAGCTTGGCTCACCTACTTTTTGTTTAGCCTGAGATTTTTGCATCCTCTTGTCCACTTGTATAATTATTTCACTGACCTGATAGTCGACGTGTTTTTTCATATACCTTTCTTCTCACTGTCTGATAATTCTGATCTATGTCACTGTGTCTGTTGATTAATGAGTCGTTTGAGCACCAGGGTTGTACGAATTTCCTTCAATGTCTCAGCATTTTCTTTAGAAAATCTCCGAAAATAACTAATCACAATCAAAGTCATCAAGAGAGGCGACTAGTAAATTCATTGGGAATTCATTTAGAGGTCACATTTGAAGATCTTGTCTAGCAAGACAGTCACTTTTACCTCCCAGCTCAGCATAACTACACTAATACCCTCCATCTGGGCTACAAATTGTCACCATCCCTTTTTACATTTATGCTTTTTTGAATATAAATGTAATCGTAACACAGATGGAGGACAGTAAAACTAGAAAAGAAATAATTTTAATGTTTAGGTGTAAAGTGTTCACTTACTGACTTTTCTAAAAATAAGGTAAATAAGGCGTCTGAATTACTTGCTATTATTAAACCCATTATGCCAATTATCACAGTCATGTATTCATAGTTCAAAGTAGACTTAGGTCTTAGGTTTAGTTATGTCTTAACCGAATAGCATCAAACTCTTTGGTATGTATTGGTTTGTTTTTGTTTAGAAAACGGTTTCATTCTAATATGCTGTTGAAAATGAATCGCCTACCCTTTCTCTTGATTGTTTACTTGTTTCATGTGATGCAAAACCTTCAAGTTTTTGGAATTTATATATCGCTTGACAGTTAACTTATTTTGACAAATATAATCTATACTTAGATGTGTACTCTAAAATTAGATGTTATTTAAATATGATAAATTAACAGGCATTGTAAAGTGTCCTTTTTTGTGACGAAATATCAGCTCTGAGTTAAGGAGATTAGTTATTCAGAAAGAAATGTTATCAAACAAACAACTTGATGGGCATTAATTTAGTATAATTGGAAAATTTTATTTCAGAAATACAGTATTCACTTTTTGTATTTTGTAAGTAATTTGTTATGTAAAAATTATAACCGGCGAAGTGCTAAATCAGTTCACCAAAAAATAAAATTCTTATGAAAACAATCAATTTAGAATTTCCCGTTGACTGATTGAACCGAAGTGCTTAGCGTCACGGTGACATGTAAGCTTCTTGTGCATATACCTCGACGATGTCTGAGAACTTAACTTGAAGTATCTCTGGTGGAAGGTGATTAGTGGTGGAATAAAGGATAAGACGCATTTCAGCCTATTTGGGACTCATCATTTGGGCGTACCTGCATTCGCCAGTGAGTGACAGTGTCCCCACGAGGCTTCAATCCAGTACTCACAGTTTCAAACGCCAAAGCGTTAACTAATAGACCAACTGGTCCATGAGAGCCACTTCTTGTGCAACGGATATCAGTTATTATTTAAGTCAATTTGTACTTTCCTGTTGTTTGATTGGACCCAAGTGCTTGACCTCTCTTTGACATGTCGGTTCCTCGTGAGGATGCTTTGACGATTTCTGAGTCCCGGATAGGATGAAATGCGCATCCTGAATTTCACTGCTAGTCACCACCCACCAAATTACTTCAAAACTATCTAATTTTGTTTTACTGCCAAAGTTATTTTGTACTTTTACTAATATGTGTAGGGATATAGACATTATAACTGCAAAGAATAATGTGATGTATCAATAATATGTAGTGCGTCGGTGGCACAGTGGTAGAATGTTCACCAACCATGCACGTGGTTTGGGGTTCGATTCCCGGCCGATGCACCCCTTTACCCTTTAATTGCCAGCCAGTAATATACCTAGTAAAGAAGGCAGGATGGGCATGAGGCTAGCAACCCCATCCAATAAAAGTAAGCACCACTGCTACGAAAACGTCAAGCCCCTAGATAGAAGCCCTCCTTCACTAGGAACGCTAAGGAATAAAAAAATCATTAATATGTTAAGTAGTTTACACACTAAAAGTTAGTGATATATTAAGCTCAAGAATAATTGTGCAATAGTCATTTCGGTCTTTGAGGTTGCTCAAATCTTTTAATACTGGGCATTTTCAGTAGATTACACTCTGAGATATGAATACTTTTCAAAAATAAAAGTATGATGAAGTTCCATAGTTGAGCTTTATTTAGCTTTGTGCTTTAAAACACACATTCTGGGTGTTTCAAATACTATCTATGAAGTCAGATTTTGATATTTAAAGCTTACCTAACGAATAGAAAACTAAATTCCTGAATAATTTTGACATGATTCCTTTTAAAATGAATGAATATATTAGTTTTGCTCTTTCTAATTTGTGGTGTCTTTAATAAAACAATGAACATTTTGATAGTAAAATCCGTAAGAAAAGTGTATCACGTTGAGTTGAGATGCGAACTATATAGAATCTGGAGTTAACTTCACAATAAAAGACAATTGTCAATTGGCAGTTTAAGCGTGTAAATCAGATTTGCCGGGTTCACGTCTTAAGGGAAATAACACCACTAGGAGATATATCTATACATTCAGTCAATGAATCTGAAAGGCGGCGAAATGTTAATCTTATTCCCCATAAACATGTGTTTGATTTTTCATAACTGAACTAAAAGGTAATTTCCGCATCAAGTACTAACTACAACTTGTATGCAAGATCATGCAAAAGTAAGAAGGATTGTAGTAGTAATAGTAGTAGTCATTGTATTATTACAATGATCATAATTCAGACTTTCAGACAGATAGATGTAATTAGTTTATATATATTTATGAAGCAGACACAACCATATGCCATTGGAAAAGATGTAATTAGATATTGTCAGCTAAGTTGGAATAATCAGCAGGATTAAAATAACGAATTAGGCCATTATATGCACTTATAAAGTAGATTAGAAATTGAACAAACCGGGTGATATGGCACACTGTTTCACGAATGCATCAAATGAATGTACAAATCAACACAATACTCTACTACATACTATTGCTGTTAAAAGTTTGGGACGCCTACCGGAACAAAAAACTATTGAGAATTATGTCTCGCATTAGAATAGAGGTTTTATGTTTTTATTCTCTTGCCTGTATACCATTTAGTTGAAGATATATTTTTGATAAAATATTAATAAGTGGAAATTATTCTAGAAGCTAAACTGTGAAGTATGTAACCCTTTTATTAAATGTACCACTAACCACTGTCCATATGCTTCCTTTCAGTTCAAACTCAATTATGTAATTTCATGTTTAAAATGTTTTATCTCATCCACTCGTCTTCCTGTATCTGTAAATGCCTATTGCTTGAGCTTCTAGTGTCTTGTGGCTCTCCTTTTACATAGTGATGTTGTGGTTTAGGTAATCATAAACCGCTCCAGCATAATATACGTCAATATTTACTGTCGAGCGACAACTTCAACCCTTACGAACTACTTTCTGCTTAGTACACAGAAATGTGTAGGTCTAAACAATTGTATTCCAGATTTGTTTTATTATCAATATTAATCTTCAGGTAGGTAGTATCCATTAGAACAGTATAATATATCCAATGTTGAATGGGTGATATTTTAGTATTGATTTCAGTGTTTCACGTATGTTTTAAGTATGGAGTACATGTACGTCTTCATAGAAAATGTCATTTTTCTATATGTAACTTTGTAAGACAACCCAATCGCAGATTGGAGAATAAAGTAAATTAGGTTTAAATTATCTTCAGGTATACCAAATCTGTTCAGCAGAAATGTATGACTAACTAGTACATGGTGCTTTTCCTGTAACTGTTGACTTGTAACAGTCATGTTTGATAATTGTCTCCTTCATCTGGGTTAGCACTGGAATACAGGTTGGCATTTCAATTATAATCTTGTTATTAAAAATAATTCGTTTTCTTCTCTGTATAGCTGGATAGTGCTGATGAACAAGCTGCTCAAGTACGTCGTGAACTGGATGGTCAATTACAGGCAGTTGAGGAATTATCAAGAGTAAGTGATCAGCTTGTTATGATAAACGATATTCATACCAAACTTAATATAATGTTTAATTATCATCTGAAGTAAGCGCCAACCATTTTTTTGACTACAGTTTCATGAATTCATAAAATTACACATTATTTGTTGATGGATTATACTAAACCGAAATGTTCGGTCTCTACTGACGTGTTGGCTTCTAGTACGGATGCTTCAGTGATACTTAAGAATTAAAGGGGATTTATATTAGTTGATTTTGTCTAGCAGTTGAATCTAAGGTGTACTTTGGCATTTGAGACAATACATACAGGTTTTCAGTCTCAGTGTGGATGCAGGCACATTCAGTTAACGATCCCCAAGTAGGACAAAAATACGCATTCTAGATCCCACTGCTAGTCACCATCAACCGAAATTACACACTGTTTAGTTACTTTCTTCAAGATGAAGGAATTTAACAAAGAACAATTAACAGAGATCTTTTTAGATTCTACGAGTTAGAATTATTCAGTACACTTGAGTCTTTTGGTAAAAGATTTAATCTCTACTATGATCATTATCCACAGTATTGTGATTTTCAGATAAGTTGAGAAGTTTTGTGTTAAGTGAAGCTTGAATTTTAGAAACTTTAAATCGTATTATGTAATGTCTTGTGTTTTTGATTATGCCTATGTGTGTGAACGTATTCTATGAGATTCTATGAGAAAAGTAATCAGACATAGTGGATTTTCAGATATACTTTTCTAAAAAAACACACAAAACACTGTTTAGGCTCTTCTTCTCTATATATAGTTTCAAAAAAAACCCAGTCATTAATTCATTCAATTTATTTAATCACTTCGTTTTCTTGTTTATTTACTTGCCTGCTTGCTTGCCTTTCTTTTGCTCTTCCTCCCCTCCATCCCACTGTTCATTTTTTCTTTTTCCCTTTTTTTTTGCTTTTTACATCTAACGTCATTACTTCCGACAAATGTTTCCACTGTCTAATTTCCCCTAAATGAAATCAACAGAATCCAGATTTTTATTGCTTGATTTTGTAGTTTCTTTAGTGTTTGTATCTCACTGATGTTGTTATTGTTGATGAACGATGAGGATAATGATATTGATGATGATGATGATGGTTGGAAATTAATTTCTTTCTTATCAAATGTCTATTCTTCCACTTTATTTACTCCGAGACTCATTTTTGTATTTCAAACATACTTTCAATGCTTTACAAAGAAAAAGAAAATAAAACGAATCTCCAGATGTTATTTTTTCCTTATGAATTTGTTCATTGCTTGTACAGTTCTCCTCTCGCCTAACCACCCGGCCAAACCCCCTCCCCGAGGCGAAAAAGAACTTCTATTCATCTTTGTCTCACATTTATTGATGTTTCACTTTGTTGCTGTTGTCGTTTTATTTTATTTTATTTATTTTGTTTTGTAGAATCGTCAATTCCCCCGGTTAGTTGTCAAAGATATGGAGAGTTTATATGCTGATGAATTACGTAAAATGGTCGGGGAATTAATGTTACGATTAGAATCTGTACCTGTGACAAGAGGTTCAAGTAGTTTTCAAAAATTTAAAAAAGTTAGTCGTTCACAAACTTCCGGTACAAATTCACCAAGTTTAAATTATAAAGAGCATAATGATGAAATTAGTGAAACAAATTTTAAGAATAAAATTGGCATTCAATTGAATTTTTCCTTAGAGGTAAGATCCCATTTTTTTTTTAAAAATAAATTTGTTAATAGTGCAATGGCATTAAAGGCTTTTGAATATTTATATGCAGTGTAATATACGTGAAATTGAATGTATCATGATTCAGTTTGAATAGTTTTATTCTTTTAAATTCTCAAAATAATCCTTGTTTGACTTTAGTTACTTTACAGTCGGGAGCACGACAAACAAAACACCCATAGAACACAACGAGTTTGATTGCTTAGATAATTGATTACTTTGCGCTACAGTTTAGACATAATGGAGTAGATTTGCAGCTCAGGTGGATAATTTTGATTTAGTTGTGTTGTTTGATCTGGTCGATTCAAGTGCGAAGCGTTCCTTGTTCTTCTAGACAACATCCCCAGTGCAGGTTTTAGTATGAAGTGGACTTATTTGAATTCTTCAGAAATGATATAATGGAATCGCCTAACAACCATGGTTATCAATTTACACCTCTATGGATCGTTTTTATTGTCTCAGAATTTGAGCTTTGTCGTCATGGGATTTATTTTTTATAGCAATATAGTAATATTTTGGCTAATCGCTGATTCATTTGAGTATCAGGCTTCCAGAAATTCCCTGTTACTTTTTAGGTTTCTCCTATATGGGATTTCTACATTATCCGAACCAAAATCTTGCCTATAATTACCTTCATGCTTCGATATGAAAGAATACGTATCCTTCCTTGTCACAGTTGATTTATGTTCTTGAATTTGGACACGAAGGGGACGCCCACTTTTACAGATGTAATGTTTGTCACAATTTATTTAGTCAATGGTTTCGATCATCTCTTCTTTTCCTATTGGATCTTTTGGCTTGCACAATATCAAATTAAATGATTGGGCTGGCTTGTGTGTTATATGTATTTAAAACGGTTGGTGACACAGCACATAGTCCAGGGTTCGATACCCTGCAGACGCACACCTGGTATCAATGGTTGGCCTGCAAAATTTGGGCTACCGATATCACATGCTTAAAATTCCATAGTTGTACCAAAAATATAGTGTGGAATCAAGCTATAACCAAAAAAGGTAGTCTAGCCGTTATTTCAGAGATATTCTTAATATACGGTAGGGTGAAATTTCCTGTGATTTTTAATGATGGTTTCTTCTTGGTATCACGACTTGAGTTTGAACACTTTTTGATATAACTGTGTGAGTATTCATTCTTTTTGAAGATAGTTAGTAGGTATTTCTCTTCCATTCCTTTCAGCCGGGTACTCAGAAGAAGGAGAGGGTTAAAATTCTAAAAAGTAATCTAGGTAGGTGGAGAGAGAGGTTGATTACTGAATCTACATCCAACATGTGCAATGTAAATGACTCATCCCTCATACTGGGAATATGGAAAGTATTACTATCAATCAAATGAAGAGATGAGAATTATTGGAATTATATAAACGAAGTTTGAAAGTTGTGTGTGAATGACTTGATAGGATTATGACCAACAATAAATTTTGCTCTAAACGTGGAAAATCAGTACATATTACTGTATAACACTGTGAGACTTTGTCAAAAGAAAATTTTATCCACAATGGAATTATACTCTAACACAGTGCATAATTTCTATTCTTATATTATTAGGGGTTGATAGTCAGTTAGTTACTATTCCTATTCATAAATGTGCATCACTGAAGGGTTCCTTTGTAGGTATTATCAAGATTTTAAAAATAATTTTTTATTCCAATCCCATGTAAAGCTTATTTTGTTCATTGTTAAATTTACGCAACAGTTTATTCATTTTGAATATTTGTAAATCAGCATCTTTGAGCGTATATACTTGGTTATTTGCTGACACACCCTTTCACTATAGGGAGGAGGAGGAGTATTTATTCATAATATACAGCTAAAAATAAGATCTCGTTCGAAATGGACAGATTCACACCCATATTTCAAAGGCTTAAAATCGACTAACTAAATTAATAAGTGGTAAATTATGGTATGCAAAAATAAATGAATAAACATATATATATATATATGATGGAGAAGATTTGCAGCTCAGGTGGATGATTTTGATGTGGTTGTATTCTCTTTTTGAGCTGGATGGTTTATTTTGAAGCTTTGATTGCCCTATTAGGCAATCACCCAGCGCAGAGAACACAGCTACATCAAAATCACCCACCTGAGCTGCAAATCTTCTCCATCATATCCAAATTTTACGAGAGGAACACGCTTCTTTCTCTTCGATAGTGGGAAGACTTTGCCAAAAGTCATGGATCCACCAGAGTGCCTCCGTCATCAAATCCGACCAACCAATGTCAGATGCCAACCACCGGTAAACTGCCCAATGGGTTGGAAAGCAGCTGAACAATGTGGAAGACGAATGAGCAAATTGATGATTACAGATGCACATTAATAATTGATTTAGGCTTTGAGCAGCTGATGAGAAGCCAACGAGATAAATGATGGTACCATGATATTCTGCGATTCGTCCCTGTCAAATGTAAGATGCTGCTACAGGACTGGACTACGTCTACCCCCAGCCTAGTGATAGGGAGTGAAGTGATAGAACATGTTGACCACTTCACCTATTTTGGAAGTTGTATCAGCACCAACGGATTCATTGGTGACGAAATCTCAGCAAGGATCCAAAAAGCTCGGGCTGCTTTCGCTAACTTACACCGTCTCTGGCGTAGGCGTGACATCCGGCTGTCAACCAAGGGACGTGTATACTGCTCAGCAGTTCGCTCCGTCCTTCTCTATGGCGGTGAGACGTGGCCATTGAGAGCGGAAGACATGAAGAGATTGTCTGTTTTTGACCACAGATGTTTACGATCTCTTTCTCGCGTTAGGTGGTATAATAAGGTATGTAATGTTGACGTTAGGCGTAGAGTGTTGGGCAAAGAGGGGAAATCAATCGAAGAGGCTATAAAGTTACATAGATTGAGATGGCTGGGTCACGTGCTGCGCATGCGTAACCATCGCCCCCCCCCGACGGGCATTACTAGCTGATATAGGTGCAGGTTGGAAAAGAGTATGTGGTGTCCAAACAAAAACATGGCATCAATCCATGAAATCTCTGACAGTTAAACTGAGTCAGGTAGGGAGATGCAGACTTCCAGGTTGAGGCCCTCGAGACTCTAAGAATCAATGGCTGGAGACAATAGGTGACATGGCTCAAAATCGTTGTCAGTGGCGCAGATGTATTCAGTCTCTTTAATCTTTCATATTCCTTTCTACCATTACTCATTCTGTTTCACTCTTATACTTGTCTAAATTCTATTGATTCTCTTCACTCATTTTCTTGTCTACCTTTGTGTGCTATTTGGAACGTGGCAACTCGAGCTGTTGCACTTCGGTGCCAAGTTCTATGTTGAATCCAGCAGCAGTAGCAGCAGCATAAACCACTGTAGTTATTGCTTCATTCGAATTCACCAAGGGTAATAAATGTATGAAATATATGTATATATTGAGTATGTCTATAGAAAGTGGATTATTTCGTGTGTTTTGCGTCACCAAAATATTTTATTCAAAAAATTGTCATGTATGCTTTAGATACAATTTTTTCTTTTTTTTTGGTTATGCGTGAAATATGACAAAATGACATTATATCTATTATGATTACTATTATTTCTGCAACATTTTTGAGTTTTTTAAAAACGTAAGTGAGGAAGATTTAAAATTTAACTTGAATATAAATATGATGTCCAGGCAGTTAGATGATATGTCCACCTATACTTGTGCGTGTGAGCGTTATCCTGTTAACTTGTCAAAAAGTAAATGATGTCTTCTTCTTCTTATACCATAGTTGAAAAAGTATCATGTATATTCTTTTGCAAGTAGACATTTTTCAGCTGTACTTATCCATTAATGAAACAATATCCTTTTGTGCTTTGGTAGCACAGCAGTAGAATGCTTGCTGACTACACATATGGTTCGGGGTTCGATCCCCAGCCGGCGCACTCCTTTACCTCACTAAACCAGTAATAAGACTGGCAAAGAGGGAAGTTTGAGCATGAGGCTAGCAACCACATCCCGTAAAATTACACACCACTGCTAAGGAAACTTCAAATCTCTAGCTTGAAGCCCTACGTTCTACTGGCAACGTAAAGGAGAAAAAATCCTTTTAAAGGAGAAAAGAAACTATTTTCCTGTTAAGCAATTTTTTATAATGAGTCCAAGAAGGCTGTTATCAAAAAACCTCCCGGTGCATAGTGGAATAATATTCACTACTGGTGAATACGAGCGGATGGAAATCTTTCCACACTAATAAATAATAATACCCTTCAACCATAATGAAGAGATATTGTCACTTGTTGGTCGTATTTCTTCTTAATCACCTGCCCCTTAAGTTATCTCCCTAGGTTGACTCAATCCAAGAAGCTTCTTTTTATTTCTTTTGTTCCTAATAGATCATAGGGATTCAAGGTAGAGCCTTAAAATTTCAGTAGCAGTCGTGTTCATTTTTACGGGATGACGTTACTAGCCTCATTCCCAACCTTGCCTCTTCACCGATCTTACCACTGGCTTAGTAAGGTTTGGGAGTGCGTCGACTGGGGATTAAACCCCAGACCACATGCATGGTTGGCAAGCTTTCTACCGCTATACTCCTCGATGCACAAGTAACTAAATCATCCAGAATATCCGGTCTCCAGTTAGTTACATAAGCAAAATGTTAACTGAAGATTATTTCAATAAAAGGTTGGGAAATGTTTTATGACTTTGGAAGGAGATTCCATTTTAGATAAGTTTGTTTTAAATATCATACAGTTTCAGTAACTGGATGACATTTCGAGCATAAATTATTGCTCATAATCATAATCAATTTGGAACGAGACGCAAGCTTTTTTAAGTTTTCGGTTAAGTCTAGATATCAAGCAAAATCAATTTTACATTGATTGAAGTATATAGGTAGCCTGTATTGCAGAAACTTTTTCCTAAACACATTATAATAAATCTACAGGATGCTAGTTTTCTGAACGTGTAATATATTTGGTAATTTTTGAAGGTTAACATTAATTTTGAAGGCTTTTGGACAGATAAAGAAAAAACGAC